TCTCTATATATATATATATATATATAAATAGTTAAAAAAAAAAACATTTTTCAGTACTTTACAAAAATGTTGATTTAAAAAGACAAATATTATAACCTTAAATGAAGAGAATAATATTGAACATTATTTTATTTTTCTGAACCAGGCATTCCCAGACTTTTTGTTATATTTTATTAATTTAACAACAACACATTGATGTGTTTTATGGTTCTCTGATCTTGGTTTATGGTCACATGACATGCAGGTAGCCAGCTAAAATATCTAATAATTTTTTTAATAAGCGTTTTACTTTTATTTGTTTTTTAAAGAAGTCTCTTCTGCTCATCAAGGCTGCATTTATTTTCTCAAAAATACAGAAAAAACTGTAATATTGTGAAATAATATTACAATTTAAAATAACAGTGTTCTATTTTAATATACTTTAAAGTGTAATTTGTAAAGTGTAATTGAGAGAGTAAGTGTGTGAGAGAGTGTGTGTGTAACAACATTTATTCAAAATAGAAATCTTTTCTAACAAAGTCTTTACTGTCACTTTTTTATCAATGTAACACATCCTTGCTGAATAAAAGTATTAATTTCTTTCAAAAATAGAAAGAAAAAAAATCTGCTGACCCCAAACTTTTAAACGGTAGTGTATATTTATGTCGTAAATTCTGCACTTTCAAATATTCAGATCCTCAGGCTTTTATTTTGGCAGAATATTGGTGAAATGCTTAAGTTTCTGCTGGAAATGATGTAAATGTGAATGTAAATAAAGTCACATTGCGTACACAGATGCATGTTAAATGCTTGCAAGATTAGTTTTTTATTGTTTATATGATTTAAAAGTCATGATTGACCAGGTTATAGAGAGTGTGTGTGTGTGTGTGTGTGTGTGTGTGTTTTCTCTCAGTGACTGAGTGTTTCAGTGGAGTATTTCTCTTCATGTGTGCGCGTGGAAACCCCCTCCTGACGTTAGCTCATGGCTTTCACACCTCTGCGCCGCAGCGCTGCAGGGACGTGTGTTAGCGTGTTCTGCACACGCGTGACAGCCTGATGAAAGCTCTGGCTGTAGTCGTACCGAGACCACAGTGAGAACAAGCCGCTTCATTGTTCAGAGCTGCTTTACATTCTGAGTTTCAGACGTTCAACTGCCACACGCGCTTGTGCCGCGTTTGATCATGATGTTTGATCATGCAAAGTCAACATGAGATCATGATATGTTGTGTTTAATATGCTCATGGACTTATTGATAAAGTCACGGTGTTCCAAAGAAAATCACGCTTATCAAAATGCGATAGCTTGCACCGCCTCAGAATCCTTTTAGTGTCATTCCGTGTCGACCCAGCTAAAAAAATTTATTTTGATAATTTTTTTTCTGGTGAAAGAAATACATGCGTATATGAAGACCAAAGCCAAAATATTAAATGCTATGGATTAATATTTGCTGAGTGATTTTCAATTTTTTAGAGGGGGGGGGTCAAAATAAAAATTTTAATCTGAGATTCAGAGCCAGATTACAGGAGGATAAAAAATGACTTTAGAAAGACGGCAGCATCATGATGTTATTTTTACACACAGATTGGAAGCTTTATTAGTCAAATCTGTTGACTTCAGCAATATTTGTTGCATTATATGCTTATGGTGACCGTTCAAAAATGGGAAAAAGCACTTTTCGTGTTCCTGTAACTCAAGAAGCTGTAAAGATACCTTAATGCCCTTTTAGTTTTTGGTTGTTAAGAAACTTTTCTGTTGGTATCTTCATTTTTAAGGCCCCATGGGAATCTCAATAAGGAAATTGTTCAATTGTACACATTTTCAGTGGTGGAAAACCAAATGCTTGTCACTTTGCATACAGATGATTCTTCTTGTATTTAAAGAACAATGTCTGAAGAAAAAATAATGTTAAAACTAGAAATGTATCTCGTTTCCTTCCATCAGAACAATTGCATAGCTCATGCCTGTCCGAGTGCCAAAAATATTCTTTTTCCAAAGTTTGCGTGTCTGTAATTCTAAAAGTATTGAAGATATCGTATTATCCTTTTAGATTCTCATTTTTAACAAACTTTTCTTTTGGAATCTTCATTTTTAAGGCCCGGAATGGTTCAATCCCAGAGATACAGGGATCTCAGCGTGGCTTCATGTTGAATTTTTCCCATTTTCAGTGGTCAAAAACCAAATGTTGGTCACTTTGTATACAGCTGATACTTATTGTATTTAAAGAACAATGTGTGAAGATAATATTGAAAAAATAATAATATTGAATAAATATATTGAATATTGATAATATTGAAATAATATTGAAACTAGAAATGTTGCAGTACAGCATACCTCACCGAGTGTCAAAAATGTTCTTTTTCCAAAGTTAGCGTGCTTGTAACTCAAGAATTATTAAAGATATCTTAATATCATTTTAGATTCTGGTTCTTAAGAAACTTTTCTTTTGGAATCTTCATTTTTAAGGCCCTGTATGGTTCAATTCCAGAGATCTCAGTGCGGTAACATGTAGTTACGATGCTTCAGAAGCTGATAAAATCAGCAAAATCCCTCCTTCCAAATATACCTAAATATAGAATCTTATCTGAGAGCAGGTTAATGTGCCTCAACTTGACCATTTCAGTGCATTTTTAACACTTAGACAGGTTTGTCCAATGCAATTGTTTTGATAGAGAGAAAACAAGATACATTTCTAGCTTCAACGTTATTTGTTCTTCAGACATTCCTCTCTAAAAGAAAAAGAGGATCAGCTGAATGCAAAGTGACCCACATTTGGTTTTTGGCCTCTGAAAATGTGTACAATTTAACAATTTAATTCTATAGCCACATTGAAATTCCTACATCTCTGGAGCTGAACATTATAGGGGCTTAAAAATAAGGATACCAAAAGAAAGGTTTATTAAGACCCAAAATCTAAAATGATATTAAGATATCTTTATAAATTCTTGAGTTACAGGCATGTAAACTTTGGGCAAACAAACTCAAAAAGTGCTTTTTCCTATTTTTGAACGGTCACCATTGGCATATAATGCAGCAAATATTGCTGAAGTCAACAGATTTTACTAATAAAGCTTCCAATCTCTGAGTAAAAGTAACATCATGATGCTGCCGTCTTTCTAAAGTCAGTTATCCTCCTGTGTGTGTGTGTGAGTGTGAGTGTGTGTTAGAGTGTGAGTGTGAGTGTGAGTGTGCGTGTGCGTGTGCGTTCTCATTGTCTCTCACAAGCGCTGGAGGAGTTGAGTGTTTATCTTCATGTTTATGCATCAGATGATCTTCATATGTATCAGATTAGTCTCACGCTTCTGCTTTCTGGAATTGGTTTTGCTCAATCTGCTCTGCATACAGATGAGAGCTCATCATCAGTCAGATATCAGTAATTACACTGATGTTTGGTGGAGCTTGGAGTCGCGGGACGAGAGCTAATTAATGTTGGACAGCAGCAGAGCCTGATAACAGAAACACAGACACACATTCATTCCGTCGGTTCTTCTGCTGGACACAGAACACACACACTGATGTTCATGCGCTCGTATCGTACTGAGATGACGAGTCCTTCTCTTCTGTGTGTTCGTAGCGTTCAACAGCTGCTGTAAGGACGCCGGCTTCTTCATGGTGTTCAGGTGTCGAGAGGAGAACGCCGCTCTGAAAGAGTGTCTGACGCTGCAGTGAGTCTTCATTCATTCACACAAACCACTGCTTTTCTGATCAACTTTTTAGAGGAACAAGTCAAAATGGTCGAGTTCAGAGATGCCCAAACCATAAACATTTTGTAGCACATCATATCATTTCTAGCCTTTTTTTTTTGTTTGTTTATTTTTGCGCTGAAATGTTTTGATTTTAAGTATTTAAATATTTTAAAATCTAACATTTTTCCATTTTTAATTATTTATTTTTGCGTAACACATTTTAATATAATATAATATAATCCAGCATTTATTTCTGTCCCACAGCCCCCAAAGTTTGGGCACCTGTTGGTCCAGAGATCCTAAAAAATGGCTGACAATAAACTGAAACATAAAAAACTATTTAAGTAAATTAAAATTTGATTAAAAATTTTTTTTTAAAAATTAAAAAAATTTTTTTTTTAATTATTTAAATAAAAATTGAGATTATTATATATACAGTGGGTACGGAAAGTATTCAGACCCCCTTAAATTTTTCACTCTTTGTTATATTGCAGCCATTTGCT